CCTTTTTGAAGTCGGTTAAAAATTTTTCTTATACTCGAAAATGAATAGTACTCCTTACTGTAGAATTGCTCTATAACAAGTGACTCAATAAGTTTTCACTTTATAAAAAAGATTTTTAAGAAGCCAAATTGTAAAAGGGTATATCTATACAGTTATGTAATTTTTTACACAGATTTGGTATCTGGACCTTATTAGACTAGCTGTTTTCCTAGCCTATGTCAGTCACGTATGATATAGCCTCTAGTAGGTGAAAGAATTTTTAAAATCGGTCCAGCAATTTCGTAGTCTATTCAATTCAACAAAAAAGCAATCAAATTGCTTAAAATTTCTCTATACTAATATTATAAAGAGTACAACATTAGTAGCTTCGTCATTTTATGCGAGTACCCTAGTTTTTGTCGTAGCAATTAAGTATCAATAGTACCCAAGTAAATTTCACAACGCTGCTACACGAGCATTAGCATAATGCATCGGCATTATCAATCTAATTAACATGTCTGTTGAAAGGTCTTGGGCAACATCCAACTTGTCATATCGTCGTTTTTCTGACAGGAAGCCTGTCTGTCGTAAATTAATCGACATGGATCTCCAGAAACTCCAAATTAACGGACCGGTTTGGCGTGTGCCGCGCTGATGCCTTTCCCCTCTGCCCCTCACGGTTAAAGCCGGAAATGCCAGTGCCGCTTGGTGAAACTAAATTTTACACTCTCCAAGTTTTAGTCTAACCAAGTTAAATATAGATTCAGCTTCAAAGAACTTATTAATTGAGAATGCTTTAAATTTCATGAATTTATATTAGTGAATTTGCAGATGAAGTTATTATCATAGTAAACTCCCTTTGAACTAAGGTATTCTAAGATCTCCGTGTGTATTGCTTCTAAATATAAATACTAAGTAAAGGTATGACGGATTGTTAATATAAATAAATATCAAATGTGTTGTGTATATTGATATGGACAAAAATCTGAGGCCCTATCACGTAACTGTAAATCAAAGCGAAGCGATAGTCTGAGATCGTTTTAATTGTTTTTTTTTATTCCAAGCTGTTATCAAATCTTTAAAGCTTGAAATATAGGTAGGTGATCTATAGTTCCAGTGACAATGAAATTATATATAATCGGTATTATGTATTATTAATCCAAAATGACTGCTGTAACAAAATGGCGACATATATACTTAAATGAAAAATCTTAACTTGTAGAACATGATACGTTGGAATAAGTTTGTTTTTTTTTAATATTCTTATACTTGTCATTTTATAATTATGCAAAGGTACGTTTTAAAAACAATTGAGTCACTTAAAAAATATGCCAAGGAAGACTGTTCGCTTGCTAGTAAACTATAAAAGGTAAAAAAAATAACAAATAACCTTCTAGGAATCGATAAAGTTAGCGGTACATTATGATGGATCGCTCACGGCTAATTATTATTTTAGATAATTTGCGGTCAAATTTGTTATTCAGCTCTAAGCAGTATTATAATTCTACGAATATTATAGTGTTTCAATACAATTATTGTTTTGTTCTATTTAAATATAGTTGTTGAAAAATGTTTACCTTGACATTTTAGTTGATTTTTGACACTGATTATATAGATAGGAAAATATTTGAATAAGTCGTTATTTTTATAATAATTAATCGTACGTGCAAGTTCCTTCTCTTAATCTGTTTTATTTTATTTTCGTGATATTTTGATGTGTATTGTATAATAAAGTAAGAAAATGAAACCAAAAGGATGGTTGAGTTGTTGAATGTCATTGGAACCTTGGAAGATAGATCGGCAGGTCCCTATTATTGCAATACCTCGAACGTGTGATAAAAAGTAGCCTATATAAGCTATAAGCTACTTTTATCACACTATACATTAGCACATTTAAAAGCTAGTTAATTCTGCTCGCTTCCAATACGTTGCGTTCATATTAGTATTGGGAGCATGCGCTGACAAATTTTTATATTTTATAGAATGACGAAGGTCTAGGATTCATGGGGCCTTATATGCTAGTCTGTGAGATATTCGCGGCGCGGTGTCCACAGACAGGGGTTGTTGTCCACAGGCAGCCATTTTATCTGGTTGAAGATGACCAGTGGGACCTTATCATACAAGCTAATCTATAGATAGTATAAAACACATTACGCTGAGATATTTTAAAGTAGAAAACGGACTCGAACTTTAATTCGGTTTTCATTAATATACTGTGTAATACAAGAGAAAGATTTATATGTATAATACAGGACCTACATAGAACAGAAAGCAAGTTAAAAATAAATTCCCCAATTAATTAAAAAAAAAAAACTCATCATTGTGTAATTTATTGTACATTTCTATTTATATTAAAACCCTATATATTGTCTGAGTCATGGCATCCTGTCGAGTATTAATATTCTCTGAAGTCGTTTGAAAAAAATAACGTAAGTAGGTATTTGTTTCGACTTGACCAATCATCAACCAACACAAATCGAAAAGGTAGCTACCAACTACTACTAGCATAAGCTTAAACTTCTATGGTGATAGGAGTGTTTTATAAGTAAATAACTTAAATATATTATCGGCACCGAGCATAATAATTCTAACATAACCTGAAATTTCTTCAGAATCCTAGCTCTGTTTTGTTTGTACTGTTAAACCAACTTCCTCAAATCCTAAAGGTATCTTATCTATCCGTCATGCATGAATCACTTGATATAAAACCAGTAGTTAGGGCGAGATGAGAAAATAATTTGTTTATATAAATTAGGCGCGGCGTGGGCAGGTGAGAGTCTGTCGCGTGCTCGGCCTACGCAGCGCTCGCGCAGCTATTTTTCTTTATCTGTTGAAATGAAACAAAAGGTTTTGCTTTTATTGAACGCTAGCTGTAAATGCTGCAGCCAGACCTACTCTTAGCTATAAAAGCTTATTTTCTTCTATAATATTCTTGTTTTAATAATTTACATATTTAATAAATGGTTTTGATTATTGAGTTTGGCTTAATTAAAAAATATGATTTAAAGAAATCCAATTTAAACAAAAAATCTGTTTCGATATCAAATAAACAAATAAGTTTTATAAATAACAAAACGTTGTTTTAGCTTAAGTCAAATACTTCTATGACTCTTTGGCAGCTTACTAATAGGGATGATGATGGATGATGATGAAAAAAAGTGCGTCCGTATTTTTTGCTGTAATTTAAAAAGAAATGGCAATGATAATAGGTATTACATTTGAGGAGTGTGACTTGCTACGTCACAACTATGTAGAAAATGATCAAAGGTGTGAGTCACGTAATTTCAATATATTTTGGTAGCTAATTGATGACGCAAAATAAATGCATATTGAATATTCTTCAAGAATGTGCCTGACCGACAAAACAAAGAAAAATTTGTCATCATCCCTCCTTTAGTAATGCAAATAGTTCTATGTTTTACGGCTGCTCTTTTAAACTGATAAAACAGGAGGTGTCAATTTAGATTATTATTTTAAGGGAATGCTGGTTTTCCCTTAATTATATAGTACTTCATGATGTTCATCTATTTCAATGACTTCATATTACTATTTAAATATGTTAGGGTAGATGACTCGGTTTTAATCAATTCAAGATTATGACCTGGTTTTGGCAAATTCAAGGGTTCAGCTTTCAAATGGTGGTATTAGTTTTGCCATAATGCAGCATTTTGAAATACATTTACGGTAAAGTGATATATTTGCTTAATTAGAATGTCATAAACTATCAAATAGCCAAGGTCTTCGACTCTACTCTTAGATTTTAGTTGACGAATAAGATCGCGAAAAACCCTGGTGCCCAACAGTAAGTAGAGAAGTTGTTTATTTTGGCAATGCAAATAATTTATGTTTCCCTTTTTTGACGACTTATATTTGACAATTGAATATTCAATTTATTTTTAGATTCTTTTTGACCTTTTGGACAGTAATCATTAAATAGCGAAAACAATTTAGTAGTGGGTCCCACGGCTTCTTGGCTTCTTGTCTATTATTAGTACTCTAATACCTACTATGTATAAAACGAATCTTTCTAAAAATTAGATAATTTGCATCTGAATAAGTGCAAAGATCCAAATCGATTAATGCTTCATTTGGATCATTTGGCTTATTTGAATTATCGATACTCGGATAGATGCAAGAAGAATTTACTTAGTCGTGTTACGAATATACCTATTAAAAATTACCTAATGCTTTCCATACATTGGAACCTACCTTTCATGTGGAATGTTTGTTTTAAAAATTTATTAAAATGTTTCTCGAACCGAGAGGAAAATAATAACACTTTTCAAAATGCACTTAAAATCTAATCGATTCTTTTTCATACTCTGCTCATGCTTAGGACTAACAATTTGCACAACAAAAACAATTTTTCGGATAAAATGATCATAGGAGCATATTTTTCGGATCAGACAGTGAGTCGATTCAGTAAAGATTTACGCACGTCTAGTAGTTATTGTATCGACCCAGGTATAAACCATAGGTATTAGCCTATTCCGAACACATAGCTACATCTACAATTTATTTGATATAAAACATGCAGTAATCGGTGGCGTAGAGGATAAGCGCCGAAGCCCGCGATCGTTGTTGTTAAGCAACTTTCACAAGGGTCGGTCACGGGATGGGTGACCAAAAAATTATTAACTCGAGCTACTTCGTGCTTCGGAAGGCACGGTAAGCCGTTGGTCCCGGCTGCATTTGCAGTCGTTAATATTCTCCAATCCGCATTGGGCCAGCGTGGAGGGTCATGGCCCATCCTCCTTAACCATCCATAAGAGAGGCCTGAGCCCCTGCAGTGGGGACGTAAAAGGGCTGGTGATGATGATGATAATGTAGTAGTCATTTTAATATAAGGAAAAAAAACCTCTCAATATTATTAGTATAACGTAGTTTATATTTATATTATAGATATTAATTATTATCTTCTAATATGATTAATATATATATTCGACGCCTATTATATTAAAAATTAAAAATAGTTCTCTGATTACAAATTACTTAATTTGAGTTGCTAAAAGTAGCGCCATCTAGGATTGAGATCGGAATAAAGTGCCTGCGACCGGACCACAAAGATTTTTTCCTCTCAACCAGCTGGATAATGAGAAGCGAGAACGCGTTGGTGGCACGGGTGGCAAAAAATTGTTGCCGTCGCCTTGCTCGTAAAGCAAGCTTATGTAGCGGTGTGGACCAGTACCGCGAGGTGGAGTTGGTGGCTTGTAACCTGCAAAAAATACTTACAAATATGCTGGAAACTGTTTTTATATGCATATTTTTAGTGTTTTATAGAAATGGAAATATTTTTAGATATTTTGATATGACACAAATTAACAATTATTTTGGCCTCAATAGAATCTAAACTGCGTGCATTTTGTACTGAAGTTCAATATTATTAAGACAGTCTTTTTCACAAATCAATGTGTGGGTTGTGTTGAGGAAGTAATTAAAAGAAAAACATTAGTTCCCGAAATCAAACTAGATGTCACTACGGTACTTTCTTGATTTATCCATGACAAACCTTCCTGTTTTCTTTCATGTATAAAAGGATATTAGTTTTCAAAACTTAATAAACTACTCATGTTCTAATTGTACTTTTTGTATTTGCATTGATATCTAGGTTTCGAACTTTGTAAATTTCAGTTTTTTAATATGTTACTTAAAAGGAACGGAAATGACTATCTTTGGTCCATTAATTTCCTGCAAAATTTAACTTTTGCTAGAATTGCTATCTGTTGGAGGTACTTTTTTAAGGCTTTCTTTTTTAATACTTTCTCATTGGAGCTCTGTTGACTTCCCATTAGTAGATTGCCCTACAGGTTGTTTTTAAAAAGAAATCTAATTTTCTTATAATATTACGAAACTTACCTCTGTAGTCAATGCCTACAGTTTTGCTGTTCTCCTTCGATTTCAGTGCTAAACCCTGAATAAAAGTATTTAGTTAATGGCATTTTTTAACTAAAATAATAATGCAGACTTATATATTTGGTAAATATTATAAGTTAGAGATTTTGTACTTACTGGCACGTTTGATTTTAACATGTGAAGATAAAATCCGTCTTCAATTTTCGGGGGTGCGTCAGGATCAATCATTATGATTGTATAAAACTTTTTCTAAAAATTAAAATTAAAACCAGTTAATTATCTTCAATGTGGACTTTAAACCGATGACATTAAAAAAGATTTTTCTTTGACAAATTTTAAAATTACAAACCGAGTCCGCCAAAGCATATTGAAATAGTGGTTCTTCGACGAAAACTTGTCTAGGCAGCAGGACATCACAGTTATGATCATTAACCATTGTACCTCCTACACTGGTTAAATTAAGTCCAGTAAGTCGATCACACCCCTCTAAGAGAATCTTTACATCAGTAACGTAACATTGCAATGATACACCACAAACAAATTTAACAAAAATTATAGAAAGAAACGCGATTAAACTGACCATTTTAAAAAACCTTTTCAAAAGCACATAGCCAATCAACACTGTATAAAACTAGCAAGATTTTGTGTTTCAGTAACGAATCTTATTCACAATACTGTTACCATTTTTGTTATGTAAACTTAGTAGTAGATTGACTGTATAACCAGTAACAATGGTATGTAATCATAAATTCAGCAACAGTTGCTTTGCATTTAAAATTATAATACGATTATAATACATTTCTGATGTATAATACGAGGTATATTTTAAAATATTTTGCTAATTGTGGAAGCCTTTTTTTGGCCATCTGTAATTTAATCGAAAGTCGACATATATGTTCAAGTGCTGTTGGTATTTCCGATTGTTTCCGTAATTATGGCGCCTGCAACGGCGCTATAATATCAGGGACTTAATGATAAAATACCAACATAGAAGTAAAACCAATAATTATAATTCTAATTTTAATGATAATGAAACTATTCAAAAAAGCCACCTATACTTTTACTAAATTAATTAATAGTAAACACTAAAATACATTACTAAGTAATAAGTTCAATTAGGGATTTGATTACTTTTAAAATATAGTTTTGATCTATAATATGTTAAAAAATTCGACGCTACTACCACAATTTTTTCTCTGCCATGGTAACAGTATACTTAAATAAAAGTATGTGAATATGACGTGCCTTGCACATTCGACAGATGAAACTTCGCGTATGTAGGTAACGCATACTTCCGTGAGACTCTTGATGGATCTTCCGTATGATATGCACCAATCGTAATGTCATAAATTTATAAATCCATGAGATCTATCTAGAAGCAATTAATTTACCTATTTCATCCAATAATTTTCTTGATTCATGTATCGACTAATAATATCCAAGGTTTCTACGGAGTCAGTTGTTGATAAGTGCAATACTGAATTTTATTTTAGACATGTTAACGACAACTCAATTATTAAAACATATAATTCCATTAATGTCAAAAAAACCGCAGAACTTTGGAGCGTATCAACTTATGTTATCAAATCTATCATACGCCTCAATTAACTTTTATTTTTAATAGGTGCAATGATGAAGGAAATTTTCCTGTTTTAATGAAATATGGTTTCAAGGCAGGCAAGTTATTTCAGACCAATATCTATGTTACCAACGCTAAGTAAAGTATTTGAAATATTTTTTACAGTCGACTGCTGGCAGACTTTTCGTTAAAAAAATCATTTCACAAAAATCAGTTTGGTTTTAGTAGATGTAAATGTACCACAGACGCTGGAATTGCACTTCTAAGACATTCGAGTATCTATGATGCTTGGGAGAGTAAACAAGATGCCATCGGCATTTTTTGCGATTTGTCATAAGTATTCGACTCTGTTAGTCATGAAACACTGTTAAGAGAATTTAGAGCATTCGAAAGAATCACTTAATCTAATAAAATTATATTTTTGTCCTAGAATTCAAAAATTAGTAATTAATGAAGCGAAATCTGCAGGGGCACCTATTACTATGGGTGTACTTCAGGGATCGGTATTAGGACCATTTCTTTTTCTAATTTACATTAATGATCTTCCTCACTTTACGAATTTTTGCCAGACAGTATTATTTGCATAAGACACCAATTTAGTGTTTAAAGTTAAGATTAAGTAATGATTGTTTTAACGATGTAAATGATGCTCTCGATAATGTTCTACAGTGGTTTGATAATAATAATTTAAAGCTCAATTCAAATAAAACGAAATGTATAAAGCTTGCATTACCTAATGTGAGGCATGTTAGTACACTTATTAATTTAAATAGTGAAAAATTCAAGTTGGGAGAATCGACGAAAATCCTTGGTATTACACTAGAATCCCGACTGCAATGGGATCCTCATATTGATAACTTGTCAAGTAGACTGAGTTCTGCAGCTTTTGCTGTTAAGAAAATTAGACTTTTGACAAATATTGAAACGGCAGGATTGGTATATTTTAGTTATTTTCATGGAGTAATGACGTATAGCCTATTGTTATGGGGTTCTGCGGCTACCATTCAACATTTTTCTATTCTACAAAAGAGAGCTACCCGCGCTATATATAATTAACGGTCGAGGGAATTTCTCAGAGAAATATTTAAAGAAATAAATATATTGACTGTTGTCTCTTAATTATCATCACATCATCACCAGCCCTTTTACGTCCCCACTGCAGGGGCTCAGGCCTTCCTTATGGATGGTTAAGGAGGCTGGGCCACGACCCTCCACGCCGGCCCAATGCGGATTGGAGGGTATTAACGACTGCAAATGCAGCCGGGACCACCGGCTTAACGTGCCTTCCGAAGCACGGAGTAGCTCAAGATAATAATTTTTTATACTCAAGATGATTATTTTAAGGACCGCAATGCATGGAATTCACAGAACATATTTATTATCTGATGTTATTCATATGGAATTAATATAATGGAATTGATAGCCTTCCTATCGTTCTATAATGACTAATTATATGTATCAAACTATGTCCTACAGACTCGGAAAATTGTATTTATTATTGTTATAATACGTACAATTATGGCAGTGACATGATTTATGGAAATGTCATTACTCATGATAAAGAGCTGGTAAGTTTATTTCGCTTGTTCTTCTTGTCAGCTAAAAGACGTCCTGAACGAGTGATAGGGGAAAAAAATTTGGACGAGTCAAAAGTGCTTGTAACAAGCTTACTTGAATAAAGACATTTTTGTTTCATTTCGTATCTAATACAAAGTTCGTATCTACGAGTATAATACAGAAATTTCATGATGCTTACCTACAGTTTGTTTTAATAACAGATTGTCCAAAAAACAGTGTTTAGGGTATGTAATTGGGTTTCTTTAATCAACCATAACTTTCGAATGAATTTGCCGAGAAAATTATATATCCTTCATAATGTTAGTTATGAAAGGTTAACTCGGCTTGAACTGCTAATAGCTTACCTGTTTAAAATATTGCAGTTGGAGGTTCGTTATCTAGAACACATAATCGAAGAGTTTCCCGACTAAAATGAGAATATTAATACCAATAAGCCATAATCAACTGATTACATTTTAGTTAGTTTTTGCAGCCGTGTGTTTTATGTCCCAAAGCGTTTAGAAAACTGAAGTAAATATTCTCTCTATACTAAAACATAGAGCATAGGGCTATCTGTGATAAAATATAAAGAGTAAAATATATTTGACAGTAAATTTTAATGTTTATGTTAATCTAAATTACAATAATTTATCAAAAGCCAAAACAATTGACATTGGCAGAATTGTGCGAAATGCGCAAGTAAGCCATTAATAAAAGAAGAAGAACAATACAACAGAACAACGTAAACTTGGATTAATATAAATATGGATGGATATCAAATGGAACACCAATGTAGTTTAGAAAATAGACCGAGAATATTACAATTTAGAAGCCAAAGAATGGGTATTGAAATAACTGAAAGAATCAGATGTGCCCGTTTATGGTGTCAGAGATATTGGAAGTTGCTATGTAATCCAGATTTGCGATGTCAAACAAAATTTTGTATATACAAGTTATTTGTTAGACCTATTCTATCATACGGATGCGAAGTATGGATTTTGAACAATCGTTTAGCAAATAAGTTAATACGGTTCGAATGTGGTATTCTTATAGAGATATACAAATCAAAGTATCCACATAGACATCCTAAACGCCTCAGACCTAACATCAGATCAGTTTACAAACAGTACCATGACTCTGATATTGTGGATTATATACGTAACGAGAGACTGAACTGGAGGACCTTGCTGAAAATTGAAGAAAAGGCTATAAGTTATAGTTATAAAAAAACGGGTAAACGTGTTCATTGGTGGGATCAATCAGCAGATAACTCGGACGCGTGCAATTCCTCGGCTCTACAAAGAAAAATTATACGGCCTATTCTTAAAATATTTACGGGAGATTGGAATTCGACAGAAACAGTGCATTTGAAAGAAGCACCCAATTGAAGAGAACACTGGTCTATATGAGAATAAAAAATGTGTTACAACACATGAACAAGCGAGTATGAGAGTTACCGAACAAAACGCTCTTGCAATGTTCTCGAGCATTGGAAGAAACATGACAGGTAAGCAATAAAATATGAAGAAATCATCAGAAACAACTCTAATTGAAACATAATAAGTCTATGAGTTGGAAAATGCACGAAAGAATACAACAAAAACTCGGATAAAGGATTCCATGTTCAATAACTTCGACTGACATATCTTTTAAAAGATCTTGATGTATAGAATATTTTTTACTATGTAGCCATTTTCTTAGGTATTGTCTGTTTCAAGAATTTGTTCATGAAAACATCGAATTTTCCGAATTAAATATCAGTTTGCAGATACAGCTAACTTGAATAAAAACATTAAAAAAAAACATGATTCGAGACGAGATAATTCATTTTGTCAGAGTTAGTTAACGAAAAAACTTCTTATAACTAAGGAAAATCCACGTTATTCGCAATTATAATATACGATGCAATACAAATGTCATTTGAAGATAGCTTTGTCATATTGTTGAGAAAATCTCGACATTGGACCCTATCTCATCAAAAAATATTGAGATTACGTAGTCTACGTTAGACAACTTGCGACTACGGCATTTAATCAAAATCCTCAACCGTTACGTTGGCGTATTCAGTCACGATACCAAAGCACAAAACATGATTTTTGTTATACATTTTGGTATAGTCCCCGAAACTACTAATGCGTGCGCCTGGCCGCCATTTCGACGACGTAATTGTGTTAAAAATCAGTTCCGATAACAAATATATACCGGTTGACGAGTACACTTATTAAAAGTTGAGTTGTCTTGAGACCACACATCATTTTTGTTATATGTTTGTTGGGTTGAATTTTTAATGTTTGTTGGTTTGATTGGATAAAAAATGTCCTTTCCGTTTGTTATTTCGTTATTACAAAGTAAATGTAACTTTTTTCATATATTTTATTTTCTTTCTTTAAATTAATTCTTTTCCGAAAATACATACAATAAATTAAAAGTTATTCAAATATTTAAGGGACTATTCATAAATATTTCAACAATTAATAAACCATTTATCTCTTGCCTTTTGAGCTATACTTTTTAATCACGTCACGTCATATGACGTCACGGGAGTTCTTTAGACAAGGTTCCAGCGCATTAGTAATTTACGAGATTTATATCAGCGAACCTGATACTACAGCATTACTGCACTCTATAATAATCATCATCATCAGCCCTTTTACGTCCCCACTGCAGGGGCTCAGGCCTTCCTTATGGATGGTTAAGGAGGATAGGCCATGACCCTCCACGCTGGCCCAATGCGGATTGGAGGGTATTAACGACTGCAAATGCAGCCGGGACCAACAGCTTTTTTTTTAATTCTTTTAATTTTTAAGGGGTTTTTATTCTTTAGAACATGCCAACCCCATCTTACCATACTTAAATCTAAATTCACTTGATAACAATATTTCACTAGGTAATTTTTTACAGCTTAACGTGCCTTCCGAAGCACGGAGTAGCTCGAGATAATAATTTTTTAGTCACCCATCCCGTGACCGACCCTTGCGAATGTTGCTTAACGACAACAATCGCGGGCTGCGGCGCTTATCCACTACGCTACCGAGCTACCTACTATATAATAGCACTTGCAAAACAAGGCGACATGCTTTTACTTCTGAATCCTACGCTAGACGTTAAGGGTTCACACTGGAACTGCATTGATTTTAAATGTTTTATTAGATTAATATAATGAAAATCATTATGAATCAACAAAGTTACAGTACCCATGTGAAAGGATGGGTATTTGGATGAACCATAGTAATTATCCAATTCAATTCCGATAGCGAAGACACAGTAGAGACGGTGAAAAAGATGACAAATGAAGATCTTTATTTTATGAAGTTTATGAACCAGTTTTTATTACTTATACAGGTCATGGGTAAAAAGCAAAATCTAAAGATTGGCTTGACGGCTTCATACCTAAACTCCTAGCTTCTGTACCCTTAACACCGTGTAAGAATAGACTAGTTTGGTATATATTTCACATTGATTAATTTATTTGAAAGAACCAAGTGATTATTTTAATTACAGTAAATAGTAATTTAGTAATAAAACAGTTTTTTGTGTTATTCATTACCTTTTAATAACAGTTGAACATGATCAAAATTTCCGAGTTTATAACTGGTAACTACGTGTAATCTCTGTTAGCATATAAACAGATAAAGAAGGGACAAATGGGCCGGACTTGCCCACCTCAGAATGTACTTTGTCCACCCCAGATTAAGATGTTATGTTATTATTAGTACACGAGTTGCGATTGGTAACTCCAACTATAGTAAGACCTAGTTAGATAAACTAAAATATATTTCAGAGGCAAACGAAAAAGGGACAATGATATGAGCGTCGACACGTATCGGTATACATTGGTTCCACGAAGTACTGGATAAAGATAGACAGAGTCGATTTTTTAGCCCCATTATTAAGGCACTGTATATGATTTTACATTCTTGACAACGTTTATTGAAACTGCATCTAACACATTAAACATCTGAGTAATCCTAATTCTTGTTATTCCATAAAAAAACTTTTTAAAATATATGAAAATCAGTTATTTTATTCCCATTTTTATTTAAGCTGAGTATGCTTATATTATTTTAAGAGTTTGTCTCCGATAAAAAATGAAGTGGGAAAAATAGACCAGTACCCAGTATTTCATATCACAGCTTTTGACACAATATTTAATGCTATTGTACGGCGGCTCTAATAACAGGCTACTCGTAGTCCGAACCTACTGTGACTTAGAGTATGTTTATCAATGTATATCTTTTTCGTATATCACTCATACGCTGTATCATCCGCTTTTTGCTGCTCTACTAATATAGTATATTCTATTTGTTATCTTTCACAGCTAAACGCAAACTTCTTCTTAGCTGTCTTCTATCTTTTGTTATTTCGTTACAATGCTTTTCGTTACCTGGTAGATCAGTTTCTTCATCGGACTGACTACAAAACAGTCTTGTATTTGTAAAATAATATGTGGGGTCATCAGACAATTTCGAAACTGCATAAAGCATCCTTCTAACGTTTCTTATAGGAGATCCAGTAACTTTTTGCCATTTAATTCCTTGCAGTTTCATGTAACTCACTACATCAATGTCAGTATACTTTTCATACAAACGGTGCTCACACAAATTACCAAATATTTGACGAAGAGCTTTAATTTCTAAAACTTTAAGCTGTGATGGTTGCACTGTGAACCATTGGTAAACTAACATTGGTCTTAAAAATATTTTATAAGCTAGAACTTTTTTAGCGCGTGACATATGAGGCAAACTAAATATCTCTTTGGTTTTTCGGTACCATTGCCTTTTCAATACTGATCCTGGCATAGCGAAGAATACTTTCCTACTTAAGGAGCCAATTCCCTTTATTCATCTAAGATGGAAATATTGAAGTTGGAGGAGTATCACTAAAATTTTAGCCTACATAGGTAGGTAGCCATAGGGATAAATTTTGGCCACAGTTTGTGCTATGGGTACTAATTTAACCAAACTGGCAAAATAACTGTTAAAGAACAAAATATTATGCAAAAATTACGATTTCTCTGACCCAAAGATTATATATGAAACAAGATTATTTCAAAGAATAAAGTTTGATTTATGTGCAAACTTTTTGTAATCTAATTTCGAAGAGTAAATGATATATACTTACTGTGTACCAGAAAAAGAGTTAAAACGTCTTGATACTTGTAATATTTTTAGTAAAATAAAAACTTCAATAACCGCCTTAAAGCATTGAACATACTACTGTGTCCTGACGGAATTCCGATCACGGCAGTGAGATAAAATATAGTGCACAAACATAACCTGTGACTTAATTAGACAAAGAAATAACTTTCCATTGTAATATCAGAAATCCTACATACTCATTAACAAACTAATATACTATATTCATAATAAAAGAAAATGGACGAAATTAAGTAGTCCAGTGCAGACTCAGCCCCGCTGGTATATGGTACGCTGATAAGCCGTTACACCCATTAAAAAAGCTTATTACATGGTATCCGATTATATAACAGATAAGAATGCTTGGAATTAATATGGTCCAACAATTGGATAGGTGATTTTTTCTAAACACATTACCTATATTTCAAAAATTATCTTGTTGCCATTAATATTCAATTATTATGTTATCATTATAAGACCATAGTCTTTTCGCTCTATTCATTATTAATCTGGTAATGAAATGATTGTGTTTTTAATTCTTAATTCCGAAAGGACAACTTAGTTTCACGTTATACTTTGAACAAATGTCATTCTAGCCAGAAGTAATGTTATTTTGTACGAATGCCTAATATGCTTGATACATATCGGGTTTTTACGGATTTTTTATGATATTTTCGTTTTTATTACCTTTGTTGCTAATAAATAAACCACAAATAAAATAAAAATATGATTGAGACTTGATGTAGTTTTGTTGCTGTAAGTTCAACAAACAACTAATAGCAACAAAACTAACTAACCTAGTTGTAATTGTTTTCAGAACTTTTATTCAATATTATAATTAAAAATTCCTAGACCTACTATGACATAAGTATTTTATTTGTAAAAACTATTTCACGGTAATATTATTATATAGCTAAATGCCACTTTCAATTATTTCACAGTATCAATTCGATTGATTACATTACTTTTAAAAAACCTTCCCTGTTCTCACTTCCAAAGTTAGTTTTCTTTTTCCTTTAAACAAATAAAAAATATTTTTTTAAAGATCTAACAACACTGATAATTCTATTCTCTTTTTATTATTTGGGGTTGCTTCTCTGGTCATGGAATCGGACTTATTAGGCTTATAGAAATATGGATCAAGTTCAATACAAAAATATATTTCAAGAAACAATGTTACCCTATGCTGAAAACGTTCTTTCAATTATTTGAAATTTCAGCATAACAATGTTTTTTAAGTAAATGTACTATTTTCAAGGGAGAATTCTTAATTATATAGCCACCACTGTATATCAATATATCGTCATTCAAAAATATCAAATTCAAAGAAACAGTGATATCGATATCAAAAAACGAATATATAGAAACCTAATATCAGATGAAATCCTAAAAGTAAATAATAGGGGTTAAAGTAAAAAATTGCCGAAAATCATAAAAACCATGTGAAAAACTTTCTTTCGAAAACCTCAAACCATGAAGATTCTTTTATTCTATGTCAATTCAAGGGGTCCTTGTATTACGATAAAACGGCAATTTCATACTTTACCCCTGATGATGATGTATATCAGTTGTCCAAATTTTAAGTACCAAAGGCACATATGTAGTATAATATTATAAACACGTGTGATTGATTCATTATTTTGTGACCCTAATTTTTTGCTTCGATATTTGTAATAGTTTTTATTTATTATAATTTGTAAAATAAAAGTTATTCTTAATCTAATAATCCATTTAAAGTGGCAATAACATATTTTCCCTTTGTCCTTCTGAACGCATTTCTCTAAAAACAGCACATAAGAATGACAAGATCGGGAATTGCCTTTGTCTACACCAAATGTTAAGTTTCTCGGGTCAAGAGTGAGATATCGCATGGCTGCACCGGAGAATTTGTAGAGGCTTTGTAGCCGCCACCAATTATTGAATGATGTTTTTTAAATGAATTTATGACTAAACGTATTTTATTTACATAACATTTTTACAAAAAAAAGATTTTTTAATTTATTTTAGACCCAAAAAAATATATCGGTCTATCGCTCTCGACTGTAACCGATATAAATAGCCGTCGATATATCGATATTTATACGAAACGGTCACTACAGTTGCCACTGTCAAGCAGTTCTGCCAATTTAACAACTTTGTCGCTAGAAATTACGACTTTTGCTTAAGTCTTAGCGACAAAAGAAAACTTTTGACGACAAAAATAATTTAGCGACTTATCTGGCGACTTTTGGGAGTCCAAATCAATACAGTTTTAGGTAATGGATACTTTTTTTCTCAACTTGAATAAAAATAATTAAACTTAAAATTTTCAAATAAATATTTAACTATAGAGTAAGTACTTCACCAACTCTAGAGTAACAATATACTGACTATAGATAAAACAACGCATTACGTTGACAACTTATCGATCTATACTTGAAATTTCCAATTTATTTTTATCTTAAAAATGTTTTCATAAATAATTAATTGTTTGGAAAATTTTAAAGAAAAATAAAGAGATTTAAGAAAATGAAAAGTGGATTACATATACAACATAATCGGCTAATCATACAAAATTGGTTTGGGATTGAATAAGTTATTTAAGAAATCCGCCTTTTTTCTTATCGATTATCGATGGTCGATAAGCTATCGGTAACATCTGGGTTATATTCTCTACTATACTAGGGTAGAATCAGTTTTAGCGACTTTATAGCGACTTTTGATATTGAATCTAGTGACCAGGGGGGGGACAGTTCTATGAAACTGTCAAACTGCATACATTGCTCTGCCATCTACTATACGTCCCCGAAGTTACTTACTAAATTTAATTTCTAAAGTAGTCAGAAGAGGGCGACACTAGAAAACTTTATTTAAAAGTTGCCAGTTGGTTGTAATTTTATATAACAAATTATAATTTGTTTCAAAATGCAGAAATTAAGTAATAAATAAAAATGATTTATTTAAGAAAAATTAACGATAGTCATTTATGAAAAAAAAACATAATAACCTGGCAATGATTACTATAGTTTGTCATATTTACAGTTCTCTATGGTCATTTATTTCCAACCGTTTGATTCAAGTTTGATTTTTTCAAAGATTGCTTTTGCTGTGATATCTTGGCAATTTCTTCTTTTCTATTTGTTTTATGTTGTGTGTTGCGTTGAGCCTGTGTACTCCGCATCTTAATCGCGATATTGGACGCTACTTTATTGTTTGTGTTAAGTGTATAGAACAGTATAGAACTCCGCAGTACTATTGCGATGTTCGACGCTATTTTTGTGTTTGTGCTGTTTTGCGTTGAGCAAGGAGTAGTATAATATATAGGGAAAGCGTTGAGTGTCCTTAACTCCGCAATTTTGCGATATTGGACGCTATTTTTGTGTTGTTGATCCTGGTACTCCGGTTCATCTGTGCGATATTGGACGCTTTGAAAGTTTTATGATATAATGAAGTACAATATTATCAACATGCCTCGCCTTTGTGCCTTTGGATGTAGACAACTTTCTGGTAAGTAAATTTTAACAACAGTTCGTATCATACTTCACACTTTGTTGAATGTATGGACCACAAAATAAAAAACTAAGAAAAATACTCTTGTGTTTTCACAGAACTTTCAACTTTATATAGTGATTACTCTTTATCTCTCTATTTAGTCCGTCAGTCAGATAATAGAAAAATATTAGATAAATTTCTTTTTGTTTCAATTTAACAAGAAATCACATATACAAATCCATTTAAGTTTATTATTTTTAATCTACATGACGACAAAACAAACAAAAATTAGTCATCATCCCCATTGTGATTTATAATAATTAGAAATTATTGATTGCTGTACTGTCCTATTAAATAATTTAAGTTAAAAAAATTTTCAGGTGTTACTGTACATCACTTTCCAAATCCAGAAAAATATCCTGACCGTTTTAAAAAATGGGTCAACCTTTGTGGTGGGAAACTGGAATCTGAATCTGATTATGAATTGTATAAAAAGAAAATTGTTTGTGATAAGCATTTCATAGACAAGGATCGTAATCGTTTTAAACGACTTAATGCTTTAGCTGTGCCTTCTTTATTTTTAACAGGTAAGACCTAATTTATTACCATAATAAATTTAATCATATATAATATATATAACAAACATTATTGTTCCTGAGATATAAACACTTGCAGGTGGAATTTAGGCTAAAACAATTACTACTGCTATTAACTAAAAGTTTTATAGTATAATAGAGATATTGTTCTACATAATGTTGTTATTTTATAGGTATGCTTGAAAGCTCTAACAATGATACCGAAGCTGGCCATAATCCTGAACAAGCTTCACTACTGCAACTGCCTCAGACAGGTCTGTAAGAATTATTCCATATTATATCAAAATTAACTTAAGTGATCTATATTGATTAATAATATTAAAAAGCTAAACAGTTTTTTGAAACTCTAGATCTACCACTTATATCTTGCATAATATATATAACAAACATTATTGTTCCTGAGATATAAACACTTGCAGGTGGAATTTAGGCTAAAACAATTACTACTGCTACTAACGAAAAGTTTTATAGTATAATAGAGATATTGTTTATATAATGTTGTTATTTTATAGGTATGCTTGAAAGCTCTAACAATGATACCGAAGCTGGCCATAATCCTGAACAAGCTTCACTACTGCAACTGCCTCAGACAGGTCTGTAAGAATTATTCCATATTATATCAAAATTAACTTTAGTGATCTATATTGATTATTAATATAAAAAGCTAAACAGTTTTTTGAAACTCTAGATCTACCACTTATATTTTACATATATTGATTAACATACATTCATAAGGAAGGATATAGTCTGCCAGTATCTTATTTCAAAAATTCCTATAAGATGATAATTAACACAACATGTATTTTTATGTCAAACTCTTATCAAACCAAATTTATTAATTTATTATTCATTGCTCAAATTACATAGACAAGGGTTGCAATCTATTTAAATGATTGTATGCTTTAGCTGTGCCTTTACTTTTTCTTACATGTGAGATCCAATTCAGACTTATCACCAGATAATGAATTAAATGGAATGTAATAACTTATCATATGTTAGTAGCAGACGGACGTTCTATTAAAACAAATAATACAGCCAACAAACAACTTTTATGTAATGGTATTATTTTACAGGTATAACTGCAAGCTCTAGTAATGTTATTGCCGAAGCTTCGCTACTTCAACTGCCTCGGACAGGTCTGTATAATTATGATACAACTATAAGTATACTTAAATATGATCATTAAATTGCTTTTTATTAATCTGGGGGTACATTTATTTTGTTTATGTATATGTATTCAAGTCTGTTAAAACCTTCACTTGATTTTAAGCCTAATACATCGAGAGATGAATTAAAAACTCATTAAAGAAATTTGACATATTGTGGTAACCTGGCGTGCATGTCATGTCAGTCATGTGTATATCAATCCACTTTAACACAATTTGTGGAATCGAATTGATATACGGGACAGATTCGATCCCGGCGGGAGATTTGATATATTTATGATCCAATCAAAAGCAACTAACAAAAGTAAATTGCTTAATACATATTGATAATGTATTCTTTATTATTTTTAGTAAAAGGACCTACACTGCAGCAAGTATGGTGTGAACACAATTATAGTGCTGCTAGCAATTATAGACGTCATTCTATAAATCGTAAGTTATCCAGTTCTTTGTAGTAGTTACTATATTTTATAAAATTCACTACATAGTATTTACAAATGTTTTCACACACGTTTTCAATTAGATTCCCAAACGCTAAGATAATATGTGATACCTATGTCTTTCTTTAAATAATGACTATTTAATAATATTATATAGAGATAAATAATGTTTGTGAATGATCAATTGAATTGGTAGGAATGAAGTAATCTTCGAAATTACTCAACTGATATTAAAAATGCTATGTTGTCACTTAGTGTTAATACATACAGTTACTGCCAGTTTCTGAATTGAAAAAAGTACAAAAACTCAATAACTTAAGTTTTTTATGGTTCATGTGGAAAAAGGATATAAGGATATGGAAAAAGGATATAAGGCACAAACGTCCATTAGGTTTAATTATGCCTTTAAGCTCTAATGAATGTCAAATTTGTATTGGTAATGTCGCTTGAAACTAATGACAATTTCAATGGACGTTTGTGCAGCTGGATGTTAGTTTTATCAAGCTGCTATGAAATGATCATTAAAAAAAAATAGAAATGAAACCTGTTTCAGTAACGTTTAAAATGGTTTAAGTATGGTTTGAGATTTGCTTAACTTTAAATTCTCAATTCTGAAACCGGATGTTAGCTAACTATATTTGACTCCCGAAATTCTCAAGGGAAGTGGAAACTCATATGGATGAAGTTGGGTTGGAACGTCGGATCTGGAAAATTATTTTTGTATGATTATAGTTAAGGCTGTAATCTTATTCCTGGAATGAAATGCAAGCAGGCTGTTAGTCTCTTATAAAATGGTTTCATTAGGCAGTTGTTAAATATAGCCGTGTAATGCAATTTCTTATCACAACTGCACAAATTAATGTTTGCTCTTTTTCTTTTTTAAGGTGCTGCTAAAAAAAGCAGCTTCAACTGCATGCAAATCAGTTACATGCGTGGGGAGGTCAAACAGCTTCGCAGTGAAATTTGTCGATTGAAGAGGAATGGAAAGTTCCAAATAAGACTCAACAATGGCAACAAATTACTGGAAAGTGTTGCATTTCGCCGAGTGGTAGAAAAGATGTCCAAACCGTCCCAGTTGTTACTCAATATGCAATTGCAGGGTAACAAAAAAGCTAAAGGTAGACGATTTACTCTCCAAGAGAAAGTTTTATCTTTATCTTTATATAAAAAAAGCCCCAAGTGCTACACACTTTTACAAAAATATTTTACCTTACCATCAGTCAAATGTATGAAACGGCTTTTAAGTAAAATAATAATAGGCCCAGGGATAAACCCTATTGTATTTGATAAAATAAAAAAAAATGTATCAGAAAAAACTACTTCACAGAAACTGTGTAGCTTAATATTCGACGAAATGTCAATAACACCAAATTTAAATTACAATTATAATAAAGACATAATTGAAGGATTTGCCACAAATAATTATAAAAAGTTTGCTGATCATGCCTTAGTATTCATGGTTAAAGGAATAACTCAAAACTTTAAGCAACCCATAGCATATTATTTCACGAATTCATTAAATAAATATGAATTAAAAAAATTGATACTAACAGTCATCCGCCACGCCCAAGACGCTGGTTTAATTATTATTAACACAGTGTGTGACCAAAGCAACGTAAATGTTAGTTGCATAAATGATTTAATACAAAAATCGAAAGCGGTACATTTGCGAAAAGGAATAGAGTGGCGGCATGACTGTTTTTTTGTCAATGGTCATAAAATCATTCCCTTATATGATACTCCACATTTAATGAAAGGATTAAGAAATAATCTTATTACAAAAGATTTAATTTATGTCACAAATAATGATAAAAAGACAGTAAAATGGGAATATTACCAAAAAGTGTATAGCGCAGACAAGTCATATGGAGAACTTAGGTTGCTTCATAAAATCACTGAAGAACACGTTATCCCAGAGAAAATAAATAAAATGAGGGTGAAAACTGCAACACAAATTTTCAGTCATAGTGTTGCAGTTGTCACTGAACACCTTACTGCTAGGGGAGATCTTCCAGAAGAATGTAGGCAACTTATAGATATCACATTATTATTAAATAATTTATTTGACTCCCTAAATGTAAGCAGTTTATATATAACAGATGGGAAAGTCTACAAGGGTCCAATAAAAAATAATTCACCGCATCATCAACTTTGGGCAGAAAGTAAAAAAATTTTAGGTACTGCTAAATTCATTGTTAAAAAGTTTAATGATAATAATAAAATTCTGCAACTTGAAAAAATAGTACCTTCAATAAAGAATTTAATTAAAACAATTGAAGGCGTGGAAGCAATTTGGCAAATAATCTCAAAAAAATACGGCTTAGATGCATTGCTGACAAGAAACTTAAATCAAGATCCAGTCGAAAATTTTTTCGGAAGCATAAGGAGTTGTGGTGTCAGAAACATTGCCCCCAATACCATTTCATTTGAAGGGGCATTTAAAGCTTTATTACTTAATAATTATAATACAAGTCATTCAATAAGGGCTAATTGTGAAAAGGATGAAAACGATTACCTACAAAATTTAGATTTCTTTATAAAAGAGCCATATGCAGAAACACATTTTCAGTCAGATCTGGCACCTAATTCACAATCCGAAATTATTTTTAATGAAGAGTTACTACAAGAGTATAATCCCATTGAAGATGCTGGACAAAGTAATTATGTATGCGGTTGGGTAATTACCAAATGTTTAAAAAAAATTTGTAAGTCGTGTCAGCAATGCAGACAGACATTGCTTCTTTCAGAGCCACCAAAAACATCTTATACAAGATCCAAAGAATATAAGGGAAAAAATTGGCTTATATATCCTTCAAAAGATGCTGAAAATTGTTTTAAAGAAATTCAGGGTATAACATTATCGTTTTTAAAAAAAAATGTCGTTATAAATAAAATAAGAAAAACGATAAGTGATTTCTGTAATTTATTAATTGCATGCCCTTTTAATTGTTCAGTACATAAAGAGGAATTAAAAAATTATTTTATCAATATTACAATAAAATTGTTGTTATATAGCTGGTGCAGAAATGTAAATAGGATTTTGTCTGGCAAAATTTCATACTGTGGTGAGGAAGAAATAAAAAAAAACGCATCTATATATTATAACAAACATAAAAAATACAGAAATAGAAAATAGCTGCAATGCAACTAGTCTTTTATAGAAATCAAAGATTAGGTAGCTACCAATTTCAAATCACTATCTGCTTGCAATTTGGCAAGACTTGTAGTTATAGTTTTTGTTGGCAAATTGTAGCACTTGTAGTTTTATATTATTTAAAATTAATTAAATTGTGGTACTTGTTTCACTATTTTCTCTATAATTTGTCCTACCAAATAATGCCATCAAAATTCTAAGACGCTATTCAACAGAGGCTTATCTACAAAGAGAAGAGCTAAAAATCATTAGATCCATCAAGATATTTTGTTTCCTGTGATTTAAAAAATATGTAAAGTAAAAATAAACTAATTTTTGAAAATAATGTCTTTGATTTCGCTTTTTTACAAATAAATAGTATGTACAGAAAACGATTGAGTTTTCATCTCAATTTTTGTTTGATTTGGACTGCACTTTATTGTTCTAATAAATAATTCAGATGTAAACTCTTTCGTTTTCTATACATACTATTTATTCTAAAGAAACCTTTAAAGTGACAGGTATATCTATGTATTATATCTATCTAGGTATACCTATATATTATAGCAAAGTTTTCGGGGACGAAATTCAGATGGCGCTTCAAAATGATTGGCACGGAAACCTGCGAGTGGGTTCTCTTTTTCCCTATATATATTATACTACTCTTTGCTAGTGACTCGGATTTATTGGAGTTGGTAACACTGCTCTCAAGTCAATTGTCAAATCAACACTAAATATTAAATACAGCTGAGTTCATAGATCGTAAATAATGAGTTTGTGGATGGTGTCTAACAGCTGACTTGCTAAATAAACGCGAAATTGCTTAAGATTTTCATAAAACATGGAATCCCACCCTCTTAACTTGGTAAGCATCCGGACAATTAGTCGTATATGACAAATATCACCATAAAATAGCTTACCCGAATTTATAACTTACAGGCTCATCAACAGCATCGACGTGCTGATGCTCACCTTATAAACAATAGATACGATGAAGCTATGCAATGTCATCATAACGCTGCTGAGCTACTTTTAGACGCTATGAAATCGACTACATCATCTGTCGCACTGGAATCTATAACATTACAACATAGTTACCATTTAAAACAAAAAGATCTAATTAGAAGCAAAAAAGAACAATATCTACGTGTTAAGAAAGCAATGGACAATTTAAAATGCTTAGGTAAAGACCCTCTACAAAACATTCAAGTCTATGATAATTCCAAAGTCCAGGTGGCAATATACAGAACTTTAAATGAGAGTGATTCTCTATTACAAATATTATTTTCTAAAAATAATAATTTAAAAGAAACAACTACAAGAGATGTTGTAGATGGCAAGAAAAAAGAAAAAACGCAGGAAAATGTTGTAGAGGAGCTTCAAACGTTGAGTCAGAATCTACATTCGTTAGTTGAACAATTAGTATTTCAAGTGGAAATATTAAAAGATGAAAATATGACATTGAAGGAGAGAGTAAATTATTTAGAAAAAGAGAGAACTAAGTATCTTAACTTACCTTCATCATATGATTTGAATAATAGAAATATTTCAACTAACACAGGATACGAAGGACATTCTAAAGACTTAGCGCAAAAATTGCCTGTTGTACCTGAAAAGATACCAAATCGACCTACACATTTTGATTTAAATGCTCTAAGAAATGATTGACATGTTTTCTATAAATAACCTGATATAAATAGTTAATATTTACTTAGAATAAATATTACATAAGTAGTTATGTAATTATTATGTTGCTGCATATTTATTTATGTTAAAAATAATTTAAAACCCAAATCAGGGGTTTTGTATTGTTATTATTATTTTTTATACTTTTGTTAATATTATACTCACTGCACATTAATGTCACCTTCATCTAATTAAATATCCAATCACTACCATTTGTTATATCTTATTCATCACAATTCACACATTACAATACAGTCCTAAGATCTTAAGGCTTGCCTGTTTATTTGTTATTTTAATAGATGTTATTGACATACAGAATTAAATTGTAAAATTATACTTCTATTTTCTTTTGTGAAATATCAAAAAAAAAAAAATGACTTTTTTGATAGAGAAAGGCTTCAAAGATACCCCCTTGATAATACCATAGTCAGCTCACAGATAAAGGCACACAAAAAAATAAGGTTTTTTTAGTAATAAAAATTCAACTATTTTTTTATGACTTATCTATTAGATATACTGTTAGTAGTATCCATAATATGTAGTTTGGTTGGCAATCATTGCAACAAGACATTGTTTTAGAACATATGAAACTGGAAAGAGCTTTTAATATATGTCGTTTTTTATTAAAGGCTCCTTGTTTTTAGTTGATGTTGGAAGTGTCTAATTTAAAAACTGCACATAAATGCTTTATATAGCTATAAGTTTATTATTAAAATTACTTTTTTAATATGAAGTGCCTTAATTTATAATTCTTACAATCTGTTGTAATAGCTGGACAAGTCTTTTATTATCGTGCACTCACACCTTTTTTCATAGTTTAAACTTATAAACATTGTTCTAACTTAAGTGGGGTTATTATTCCACTTTATTAAGTATACCCCTACTTATACCCTATTTTATTAAGTAGCCCATATGTTAATTCAGGCTTAGAATTATGTGTATATAATACACATTCAGGACGACAACGGGCGGATAGGTGCCGTGCCGGGGTTACCCTAGAAAAATTGACATATGCCATCGGCATCACAAAAATTTTTGAGGCTCTATAATAGGAATAATCCCATATCACTATAGGTACATTGTTTTGTAATATAACTCATGAATATTTCGTAGCATTTTCGTTGAAAGTCAAATATCTAATATAACTATGGAATTTGAATTAATATTAAACCCTGTGTAAATGAAAAAAACAACAATTTGTTATAGATATGTATTGCATGTTATTGGTCTTACATAAAAATAAAATCTTATTCTCGTTTTACATGTAAAAATAAACTTCCTAGTAGACAACTAGGAATAACTATTCTTACATCCTAGAAGTTTATACATTAACGAACAACTAATATTATTTTAACATTTTTGGTAACATGGGTTATTATTAGAATATCAGAACTACCATTAGATCGGATTATGCGTAGAGTTTAACAAATAAGGGTTTGTGACATATAAAATTGACAAGCAATAAAAAAAAAAATTTAATCACTGTATCGAAGGAAATAATTCAATAAAATATAATCATATGACCACTCTCATACACAAATTGATTTTGTCGCGATGAGTTTAGTGAATTCTAATATATTATCTGAAGTACCCATAAGTTACTGTCGTCTTGCTAAAACGACATTCACATCATTTTATATCTTGTTACTTGAATGATGTATAAAAGCTCGTAAGTTAAATTTTATTTTAGGTATAAACATATTCCGATAATATAAAAAATACCAATACACACGTTATTATGCAAAGCAATGTAGGTAGGCAAAATAACTTGAATGTACACTTTTTGAGTGTAAATTAATCTACTAGAAACTTCTAAAACGAATGAAACGTCTCGCTAGTTTGGCCGACATAACCTTATCAACAATATGTCTAAATTAAACCCTGTGCACACCGCATTTTGAAGCGCATAACGCGTTTAATTAATTCGGTGTATACAGGCCTTCAAGATCTATTTCAATTTACATTTTTTGATGATTGCTATATAAATGTGAGGGTCGCGTCTATTCATCGTAGGTAGCCGAAATCATGTTTCTTTTATAGCATTTCTACTTTTGTATTATTTTAAATTATTCATGGTAATAATTTCCATCATTTTATAGTTCTGTTACAAAAAAAAAAAAAATTACAGGTTTGCACTGGCGGAGTAGTGAGCCAGTCACTTAATAGAAGTTTAAAACTAATTAAAATACATTCTAATTTTAGACTGGATTATAATTTACAGATCATTTCCACGTGTTTAGTGCAACACAATACTAAATTAATATGTGTGCAACAATATATAGAATTTGTTAAGAAAATTCAACATTCATCTAAATTATTTAGAACGAAATCAAAGGTAATGTGAAATTTTAATAACAGCATCTTGTGATTTTTAAGTAATAATTAGTTACAATATTATACATAGAAACAATGACATCCAATATTTCACTAAACAAATAAAATCTTAATCTAGAGTGCAATAAATAGGCGACACATGCCATTTAGCATGATCATATTTACCTTTTTTTAATAGAATTTTAAAGCATGAGAATACGACACGATTAGGCACTAAAATGGCAAAATCACATACTGAAGTAAACAGTATACAAATGATGGAATCATCTCACAACCACAATATAATCAATTACATTCCATCACTGCTTAACGTTTTTTCTAATATAACATTATTGAGGATAAATATATTTGGCTATTAATATTTAACTCGGTATCTAGTAATTTAATTTTCATCAGATCATTATTTAAGATTCCAAACAGCCCAACTAAATAAATGTAACATTTCATTAATTAGGGATGATTCACATCAGTTCCGTCATATTTATAGAATTCTTACACTAACAATTCTGTAAAACTATAGAATTGTAATAAAAATGGGGCTGATCATGACCAATAATATACTTCATACTTTTTTTAACTTCACAAGCCTTATGATAATAACAATAAATTTTAAATAAATGTGAGAAATAAAAAGAGATCTTATAAATAGAAAAATAAGATTCAATTTTGTATTAAAACAGTGGAAGATACATTTTCAAGGTGTGTAAGGCGGTGGGGGAGGGAGAACCGACAAATCATCAAATGGGAAGTATTGTTGTGTGCCAAGAACGGGTGGAGCATATGAATTATGTATAGCAGGCACATAGTCGGCATTGGGGGTGTAAGGTGGAAGTGTTGGTACGGCTGGCGTTGGTCCTACGCTGTGAGCTTCGTAACCATCCCAGTCCTCCATAAGGTTTCGCCTTTGAACATCTTCATCACTGGTTAATGGTGCACCCCATAAGTTAGCGGCAGAAGCCAAGAGAGCTAAAGTTCCTGTAATGTACAAATAACAATTGATTTGTGGCAAAAATAATAAAGAATTTTTTTATTGTTGATATTTCATTTTTTTACTGTGGAACTATTGTGTATTGAGTACTATGAATACCCATCACTCAGTCACAGTACGGAGGTCAGGTGCTAGAACATTTGGTGGCGGCATACATGGAAATACTTAGAAATACACCATGAATTACAAGTTTTATAGAAATATAAAATCAGCAAGAAGTTTATATTACATATATCATATTATAGTTTATATGATAATACTTATGATATTAGATAGTGCGTATTTTAGTAATTAATAATAATATTTGATTCTATTTATAAATTGTTTATAGATACACCATCTACTACCACATCATTAGGTCTTTTATATTTAACTTCCCAAGGTTGCTAAAAGAACATTACTTTTATTTAAAAAATAATCATTATCTGTACCCGGGCGCCAATGTCAAGGGGGCGTCAAAATCATCAAAATATAATATGGTTAAAAAAAAACACGCTTCATAAAAATGTTTTCAAAATTCATACACATTAAGCTACTATAGGACGGACATGTTTACAAAGTTGCTAAATGAAATCAAAGAAAATGATCTCACAGAACGTGAGAGGAGGTGGAGGGGCATTGTCAGGTTTCTGCCCCGGTTAAAAAAGTTGTAGGCATACAATGTGAAGTAAGTGAATATATCCATAGAGCAGATAATGTAATATATTGAATGAAATAGGATACTTTTAAATAAGTTTATTCATATCATAAAACTACAGATATATATATTCTTAATTAAAAACTAAAAACCCGACATTTGCAAAAAAAAAACCTGGACTTTTTCCCAAATGGTAAAAAAAACTGTTTTTATTTTCCCCACCGCCCGTCTCTAGTTAGAGCTGACTTTCAAAACATTTCTGAGATGCGCCGAGTTCCACACCTATGTGATTTCTAAAGCTGTTGTATATCTATGATTTATAATTTAGTAATCTTTAAAGCACAAATAATTTTTTTACTAACCTGCTCCTGTAATTGTATAAAATCCATATTCATAATCAACTTGTATATTGTTGTGTTCACCATTGTTTTCATTTCCCAATACAACAGTAGTATAGTAGCATACTCCTACAATAGCGATCACCCAAAACACACACATTATGCTTGGAATGGCATTTCTACGCAGTGTTTTTATTGCTTTCACATCTAAATTGGTGACATTGATCACAATTCCAATGAAGGAACAAAGTAGTACCATAAAACATAATAGAATAAGAATCCTCATAAGGGTGATTATCTCTGGTGTACTGCATGGCGGCAAACCTGTAATTTGTAATAAAATATAATTAAACAACTGCTGCAAAATATAATTATGTATTGATATAAACATAATGTGATAATCTTGTATAAAAAACCTTAAAACTTCACCAGTCCAGGTGCATCAGACTGCTGTGATTCTGTAGTATATTCTAAGACATATGTTATTAAAATATTAGTATATTGAATTAAACAAAGTTATTTGGCACTGTTTGTATGCTGAGAGCTTTTATACTACTCAAATAATTTTAATGCTGTTTTTATCAATTTATAGTGTGATCCAAGAGGAAGGTTCAATATATAATTCAAGAGCATGTGGGCAAAGCCACTTGCAGAAAGCTAGTATCAATATATATCATTATGAAGAAAAATAATCATATTTTTTTTTTGCCAAGACATCTCTAGCTAGGAAAGTTTTAAATAAAAGGATCATGAATTTAAGTTTTGAGAAGATACTGGTATTTATCAGGCACCTTATTTAGTTATGCTGTCTAAAGTTCTACAAGATGAATATAGCAGCATTTTGTTTGTGAAATTAATAAAGAAAAATTTGATACATTTTCATGTTAAACAAAAGTTTCGATATTTATTAAAAAAAAATTGTTTATAAATATTGAATCTTTTGTCGTTTATGTAACTTTAGAATTCAAATGACAAAATGATATATACTGTAGTTAACAGACCGTTTTATAAAGTCAATTATCCAGTTCACGAAAGTACAAGTTTGAGGAAACAGTTGAATCTTTTTGGGTATGTATTTCTTTGTTGCCATATCGTGATGAAACACTTACCATTGAAATCGGATTTGTTAATAGGATCAAACATATTATTCTGACGTATTGTCAATTGGACATTATCATCATCTTCATCATCATCATCAAATGTGAAAAACTGTGCCAGTGATAGACTTTGAGTACAGTGAAGTCCTTTGATGCGAAACCAACTTGGTTGCACTAATGCTGCACAGGTTAACATGAAAGTGGACATATTAAAGAAAGCGGCTATTTTATTGAGTTCCTTATCTTTAAAAGGAAATGTCATCTTTAACCCTGAAACCAAAATAATAATTCATTATCTTAGAAAAATATATTCATGATTTTATTATTTAAATGTATCGTGGAGTGTTTTACTAGATACCTTGTTAAAAGTAGCATTTCACTTAAAGATAATATTTTAAATTAGATAACCGTGAAGAGTTTCTATATTCAAATTTTATATTCTTTTTAAAAGACACTAAAGTTTAGCAGCAAATCACAATACTTGTCTATTTTAGATTACATTTCTTGATGAAAGAACATTGTGAGTGGTCTATAGAAAAGTACGTGAATATATAGGTATTTGTGGACGTAGATTCAAATACTTGATAGCAGTAAGACAACTGAAAATGCATGAAAAAGCGTTAATAGTGGAAATCATTACCTCTTAACCAACTTAGGCAACCCATTATGTTGCAGTGAACATTGGATAGTAGTACTTGTGGATAAAGTTAGAAATAGATAGTTGTTAGCACTAAAAGATGATTAAAAATTGATGGCTTAAAACCAAAAACTCTTCAAAGTCCTATAAAATGCTTTCAAGAGGTACATACGTCTTATAAATTTTTGACAGTCAATTTTTGTTTGTTGCGTGACTGACAATTATTATGACATAAGTTAAGACACAGAATAAAAATAGATATGACTTACGTCATAATCACATGACGAATAGTCTTTGCTGAAGGTTTGGTTTGGCGAGAACCGATATTAGTCGTATGGTTTCCGTTTGTTTCCGTATTATATTATTGAGACTTGATGTTGTTTTGTTGTTGTAAGTTCAACAGACAACTAATAGCAATAAAACTGACTTACTTAGTTGTTATTGTTTTCAGAACTTTTGTTAAATATTATAATGAAAAATTGCTAGACCTACTATGGCATAAGTATTTTATTTATAAAAACTATTTGGCGGTAATATTATTGTATACCTTAGCTATATGCCACTTTTAATTATATCACAGCATTCATTCAATTGATTTCCATAAATTAAAAAAAACCTCTGTGCTCACTTCTAAATTCCTCTAAACAAATAAAAAAGAAATTTAGTCAAAGATTACTTTGTATTAATCGAGTTGCGTTTGCATAACTCGAACTAGTTAAATTTCAACTCGATATTAATCCGAGTTATCAGATCCATAACAACACTGACAATTCTATTCTCTTTGGTTTAACAATGGTACTCTTTGGGTTTAACATCATGAATTGACGTTTAGATCCAACAATTTGTGCTGCCATCTAGTGACATAATTTTTTGTAGTTTTATTATTATTTTATAAATATAGCCTCATTTAGCGAGGAACACAAACGGGTCAACTCCATTATGATTGCCTTAAAATCTACAAAGGTTCGTCGTGTTTGTATATAGTTTAATTTGAGGTTTTTCACCATTTACAGATCCTGTGTTCACTTAAACCCGACCCTGTGTTTTTGTTTTGGCGGATCTTGTTGATCGAAATTCAATGGCGTTCGCCACGAAAGTTTGTCAAGATTTTGACTGTTGGGGTACTGAAATTAGACATAAAATGTACCAACAAGAAAAATAATAATTTAAGCATTACTTTTCATTACTAAGGGAGTAATTTGCTAGCGTATGTTTCCAAATCATATAAAATCAAAAACTGTTAAAACGACTAAAGAGCAAAGTATTCCATGACTATTGCCATGAGTGTAAAATTTCTATTTTTTTATAATGTTGTTGCTTTATGTATTTTTAAATAAATTGTTTTAATACTCCAAATGGTATTATTATATAGTTTAGTTTATTATCTTAGACCTTAAAAAAATTACATTAGTATTTTTTTTCTTAGTAAAGAATAAAAATAGGTGGTTACGTTATCTTTGATAAGCAAAGAAATGTCCCGAAATTAGCGTCTTTGTTTGATCTGTCTGGCAAAAAAAAATATTGATTTTATTTGTCACTAAATATAAAACAATATACTTATAGGAAGGTGCTAGATAACTTTTCTATCAAAAAAATGATGTTTTGGTTTATTGGGCGCTTTCCACTGTGCTTTATTGATAAAAATCGAAAGTTTTTATATTCATTTACAACCGGATTAATAGATTCTGGCAAGCGAAACGTGTCACAAGAAAAGGGCGGCAATTTCAAAAATTCTTAAGCAGTAAACACTGAATGTAGTACTGCAAAATAATTTTGATACTTTTATTAATTATATTTAATCTTAACATTTAGATATCAATTAAAATTATTTGTTTTGGAACATTTGACTAAAGCGTGACTGTTCTTAATTGTACAGTTAACAGCATATCAGTAGGCCTATTCACTAACTCAACTGACAACCAAGAATCGTCATCACCGTAAAAAATAGACACTTTGATTGTGTCAAAATCACTATTTCGTATTCTCTATCAATGATGAGCAATTTCGAAATGTCAATATCGGCATTCTCCACTGGACTCCATTTTGACACTTGATTTCGTATCGATAAACTGTATTAAAGTAACATTGTTGCAAAGCATATTTGAAGTCGTCGCATAGTACCTCTTAAGCCATTTGTTGTTAAATTAAAGCGAAAAAAATACGTATCCAATATTTTTCTATTATCTGACTGACGGACTAAATCGAATCTTTTTTTTAACCCATTCGTTAAACCTATTGGCTAACAGCACTTATAATATTAAAAATTCATATTTGTCATTAATTAAAAGGGTGTTTTTTGCAACGACTTCTATGTTTTTTTGTAATGAATATGGGCGACTCTGGCCACATTTTTTTAATAAATGTGATGTTAGCCAATTTTGATTTCTGGCCCTTATATTTATAATGTGTTCATAACACATACATGTCTCCTAAGGGATTTTCATCACAACCTTTTGCTCTGATCCAGAACCACTATCTATCAAATTAAATTAGTCAATATAAACACCAGATTACAATAAAAAAAACATTTATTTTTGTTACAATTAAGTGCCATGGATAAATTACATAATACAGGTGTCACAAAATCATCATGTTAATCACAATAGAAAATTTAAGATAAGATTTTGACTATGAATCAGACTAAAAATACTTTAGTCTGATTCATAGTCAAAATCTGTTTCTAAATATTCTACACCTGATAACAATGACAAGGAATCATCAGAGTCACTCTCTTCACTACTGTCTGCACCAACAGATATAATAAATTTTTCAAGTTCGTTTTCAACAATGCCATCTTTTAATTTGTAATCATTTTCGACATTTAAAACATGATCAGTGTATTTCTTCCAGTCACTAGGGGTAATTAAGTTAAAACACTCTATTATTAAGTTTTCCATTTCCTTTCCTGGTATTCCAATGTTTCTGCTTGCAATTTTTCTTTTTGCTTGACTCCAAACCATCTCTATTGGGTTTAAGTCACAATGATACGGTGGCAGCAATAAAAGTTCATGATTATGTTCTTTTAAAATCTCTTCAGCTTCATATACAGGCAATGTTTTCTTATCATTAACCAAACACATTAACTCTGCCTTTGTCTGATATTCCTCAAAATGTATTCCATTATTTACAAGCCATTTACGGATATCTGCTTTGGTATTAGACATTATAGGCGGTTTATTGATTTGTTTTATATGGTAGCTGGCATTATCCATAACAATTACACTGGGCTTACTTAAATTTGGTATTAATTTTTCTCTGACCCATTTCATAAAGTTCGATGAGTTCATATCATCATGATAATCAGCAGATTTGGATTTACTACTGAACACTAATAAAGCACCAGGCACAAAACCTTCCTCAGATCCAGCATGCACAACAATATGCCGTTTTCCAGAGGATATCTTTGTAGTGACACCAGTTGTTGAAGGTCCTTGCCAAGACTTTTTAACTTTATAATTCTGATGTACATAAGTTTCATCAAGGTACACAATTTGCTTTCCTTCGTTTCGTTTTATATTTATTTCTCTCAAATACTTGTGCCTCCATGCAGAAATCTGGTATTTTTCTATAAGCATAGAACGTTCATTTTCATTGCTTTTAAAAGAAAATCCATTCTTAAGCATAATTTTTCGTAAAGTCTCACGGCTACCACTGAATCCTATTGCATCTTTTAATTCATTGTGAAGGCTTCTTAATGTTGGAACAATTTTTTTCACACAGTAAAATTCATTTACTTTATTCCGAATTGCACTTAAATCAAAATTATCTAAAGCAGACACTGTTGGTTGATGAGGTCGTTTTTTCCCAGGAGTGTCCCATTTTCCTTTATTAATTAATGCTTCATTTTTTATCCTTCTTAGTGTCCTTATACTTACATCTATAAAAGATTAAACACTTTGAAACAAAGATATGTTAAATGTATTTAAAAGCAAATAATGATAGACACATACATCAAAATAATTTAAATACCTATTCAACTATGAATGCAATTTATGTTTAATTTAGTTAAGTTTATGTGCATATTTAGCATGTATAACAATTACATGGTTTGATTAGTTTCATGAATTCTGTGAATTTCCTTGTTAAACAAAACATTCTTATGACATCATTGGATGTCAACAATAAAAACCAATACATCATAAAAAACCTATGTAAATATTATAGGAATACTATCAATCTATCTTAAATCAAAACAAGAAAAGAGACCTGTCATTGAAGAAATTTTTTGTAAGTACTGCGTTTCCGAATTCAGCATTTCTTGTTTTTCTAAAGTTTTTATTGCATTTATCTCCTCCATTATTGGTTGAATATCACCATCACAGTTATCTGAAATAGAGCAATATTTTATAAAAAATATCTGTTTAGTTAATTACAGAAAATTAAAACGAAAGTATCAAAATTATAATACAAAACTAACCTAAAAAAGATACAACTTTATCTAATCGTTGTAATTTCTCCATGAAATTTTTATTTAATTCAGTTTTCACTTCAGTAAACTTGTCAATCATGATGGAAAGAAGTTTCCTCGATGAACTTTTTATCGGCTTCGACATAATTTTTAACCAAAAACACAAGTTCAAATTCGCAAAAACAACAAAATTCAATATTCTTGAATTGTCTAACGTAGTGTCAAACTGACAGTTCTATGTTGTTGCCATATGAAAACGGAAAAATAGGTGGTGTCACGTTTCGCTTGCCAAACTCTAACCTATATTTGCAGTCCTTGGACTGAAATAAAAAATCTGTCTTTATATACTGGTGGTACTAATATTACATCCGACAGTGAGATAGATAGGGACAGAGGATGTTATATTGTGCGGCAAAATAGGTTTTTAATTCCTATAATTATTCGCAAAGTATTATGATAATTCTAAAAGTGCTCTGCACAATTCCCTCGATTATAAAGTGATTTGCATACATAAATTTTTATCACAATTCTGTTTATTAGTTTAAGTTATTTTCTCTGACGTTGCGACGGTGTTAATGGGTAAATAAACAAACGAAATTCTCTCTAAGCGTCTCTAGAATGTCATTTACTGTTTCCTATAAATGAACAGAAAAATTTGGGACATTGTAAAATTGATCACAATAATATGTTAACATATGATATTAGAAACTAAACCAATACAAATTTCCCACATGTTGGGGTAATCGTTTTACATTATTATGAACATGCCATGAAGT